GCAATAATCACTGTAGGGATAACAAATTTTTTATAATTTCTTAATCAATTATCATATCATTTAGATATTTAGCATCACATTATACGTATCAAATACACGACAATCCAATGTTAGATTACTGAACGTTACTTCTGATTTAAATATATCACATATATCTTAAATTATTTAAATATCATACATTAATTTAAGTCACATGTGTAGCAAATAATATTAGATCACATACTTTATCTCAAGTTCACAAAGCAAATTGAAAAAAAAAAAAAAAAAAAAAAAAAAAAAATGTGTTTCTTTAATTATCTGAAATATCCAGGTGCTCAACCTTAATTTTTTTTTTTTTTTTAAATTTTTGGAACGGCACCGAATGTAATAATAAATGGGTGCCACATGTGATGATAGAAGTGTGTGTTCTGGAAAAAAATGTGGAATTAAAGTAACTTACCCCCAAATGATGACACTTCAAATAATGTGAATTACGAGAAATTTATTATATCTTGAAATCGTGGAATTTTAAATTAATACTAGTATAAATCAAGAAAACATATCCAGACAGAAGACAATAGACGGCAAACTACTGCAGCAGTAAGAATCAGCCTTACCATTTTGAGTTCTAACCTTTCGTGCATAAAATATGTAAAGTTCAAATCTAAAAAATCTCAGTTCATCTTCGTTACACAAAGTTACATGATAACAAAATTCAATTTTTATAGCGAAGGACTTTCAAATGAAGATGGACCTAACATTTTAACTTCAATCCTGATATCAGCTCTAAGAGCCTCAAGAAATTTTATGAGTTTCATATTTTCTTTTAACTTATTTTATTCCAGTATTAGCTTTTAACTTTTATTATTATTCCAGTATATTTTTGTGGAAACACAACAAGACGCAACACGTGCACGGGAATTCCTTTCGAGAACGTCTCAAGTCGTAACATCATTCATTTACCGCAGAAATCAGCATCTAGATCAATTTTAGTTGAATCTTCATATCACTTACTATTATTTTTTTTGACAAAATGCATTCTCTTGAAACTATTAGAGATGGTTGTCAGAAAGGCACGAAAAAGAGCAGATTGTAGACACGCGTCATCTACGGTGAGAACAGACAGAAGCACGTCCTACCCCTCGTTCGGAGTCCAGGAGCAGAAGGAAACAGAAAACCGGTTGTAGTAGTCAATCTCGCTCTGTCATTGAGCTGTCGCAGTGAACAGACTTGATGTTGAATAAATGTGGAGGTTTGCCTGCACAGCTATTAGTCTTGAAGTGATGATTTTTATTTGCGAGAATGAAAGACACAACTTTTTAAAATGTTCACTGTAAGAAGCCCAGAGGTATTATGCCTCTCATAAAGTGTTCTTTCCGACCTTCATTTATGGCAATTTCCATTGCAAAATAAATTCCTTTGCCCTTTTTAAGAATTCATTTAATTTTCGTGAGATAGAGACACTTTATTTTTTTCATTATCACTGAATTTCACTCTCGCCTGGCGGTAGATCATCTAGTTCTTCATTTATTACTTTTTGATCGCCATTCTGGATTAATTCTTTAACATTTTCTTCCATCTGAAAATCCTTAGCCAGAAACTCCCCGCCCCCTTTGTGCTTTTGCTTTTAGCTTCATTTTTCAGTAAATGGAAATCCTTAAAAATTTTTGACAAGCTTCTGGCTAGAACAAATGCCAGCAAGCATTCAGTGTTGATGAACGAACATTGAACCTCATTTGAATGAAATTCTGGCGTTGGAAACATGTAAGATAATGTGCATATGCGAATTAGCGTTTCACAATTCGCGCTCGGAATTACTGTACACATTTCTCAACAAATTTTAAAATGCGTTTCGTAATACTGATTTAAGTATTAAGTAAGTAAAAGAGACATTTGAATATTTTAGTTTTTGAATTTCACGAATCTTGAAAAAGTTTTGGGAATTAAAAATTTGAATCATAGCACTTATTTCATTAGTCTAAAAAATGTAAAGAATTTTTATAGTTATTCAACTTTTTTGGGTCAAACTTTCTTTCTTTTTTATTTAATAGTTAAGAGTTTTATTTATTTTTTATACTAAATTTCGTATGTAATATTTTAATTTAGAAATTGTATTCTTAAATATATTTTTCCTTACATGCATATCTCAAATTTTGCTTTAATTGATAAGTTTTAATGTTACGATTTTCTTCTTTTTACTATTCTTACATGAAACATTCCAGAAATTTTAGATTCGAAAAATGCAAGAACAGTTTAGGAATCGGATTTGAGAAAATTTAGGTTTCGTCTTATTTGTAAAATATGTTTATAATATTTCACATCCCACATACTCCTAAAATAAATTCTGTAATATTTCTTATTTGTTAAATTTAATAAATTCTTTAGTATAATTACCATATAGCAGATGAGCAACAGTTACATACATTATAGCTATTTTGTTGTAATCTGCATTTCTTTAAAGAGAAAATTTCAATAAAAATATTCTGACACACTAAGAAAGTAAATGAATGAATTAAAATGAAACTAAGAAAATAAATGAATGAAGAAAATGAATGAACTAAAAAAGCTGCTGTTTCATACACAAAAGTGTGTTCTTGTCAAAAGATTCAGATTTTCAGAATAGAATAGAAGAATCTGGAACATTCGATATATCGAATCAACTATCCTAAGGTATTGGAAAAACCTGTCATGAAACTCAAATATACATGATTGTAGGAACTATGAAAAAAGTGGAAAAAAATGATGAGAGAGCCTCTGAATATATTTCATAGAACTTTCATTTCTTTAATGCATACTTTACCTGGTAGATTGTGTACTGGATTTTAGAGGAAACAGACATCGTATTGCGGCGTAGCAAAGCAGAATATTTACCTGAAAGGGATAAAAATAGGTTCTCGACAAATGTATCTGACCAAGCAACTCTCGGCGAAAACTTGAGAGGAATTTAAAGTATTGTGGGAAAAAGTGGAAAGGAAAACAGCTTTAGTATGTTAGTAATCAGCTTTCATTCTCTTCATGGAAAGTTTCACTTCTTCCAAGTTCTTTTATAAGTCTCGAAACAAATTTTACAGAATTCTAGTATAGTTTGACAACACAGATGTTTCTTCAACTCGCCATGAAGCTGCATCCAGTAATACTTATCCAGTAAAGCATCCAGCAAACAGATCTAATCAGCACTATGGAATACATAGAATAGCCTACTTTAAACATGCTCAGAACTCTCTCAGAATAAAATGAACTTGGAAGGATTATTTTATATTTAAACTTTGAAACTCTCAGATTTTATATTGAGGAAGCTGGACCACGAAAAAGAAAATTTAAAATTAAATATGTTAAAAAATACATTTTATTTATATTGAATTTCATTTAAATGTGTCGCTTACATGGGATAAGGGCATGCATTTTGTATGAGTGTTATCGAATGGACTATAGTATTCGTAAAAATTCGTACTAGTAGTATTCGTAAAAAGCAAATAACAGGATCGGATTAGAATGGATTATTTGGATTACCTCAAAGCACAGTAGGCTATCTGCCTAAGAGAAGGCAAGCTTTTTGTTTGCGGGGGACATCTTAAGAAACACTGACTCATGTTATACATGTAATTAGCAGGATTTAATACAAGACAAGAGTCATTGCAGCAACTCTCATCCAGCTAGCGCAATCGTGACGGCAAATTAATGGCCTATTTTTTTCAGGCACCTGATGGTCAACTGGCTGAAGTAAAAATGAAAAATGAAATACACAGCCGAGTCACATTAATGTGACCATCATTTAATATCCAGAATAATTGCCGCGCGCAGCACGAACAGAGGTTAGGTAAGATGAAAGGGGCTTAAAAAGCGCTGAAAAGAGTTTGCAGGGATATGAAACCATGCTGATTGCAGCGCAGTTGATAACTGCTAGAAGATGCGTGGCGAAAGATTCATTAAGTGGACCTATAAATTTTCAGATGGGTTTGTTTCAGATGTGGAAAATTCGAGGTCCTGGGAAGTACAACAAGTTTTCCTCGTGATTTTCGAACCATTCACGTACATTTCGAGCTGTGTGACACGTCGCATTGTTCCGCTGGAAGCTGCCATCAATTCTAGGCAAAATATATACGAGTGCATTCTTACTAATATATAAAACCCAATAACCATCTTATTAACATAAAAAATAAGTTTCTCTTCTTATAGTCTTAACAGGACTGGAAAATCTATTATAAAAATATAGGAGACACGTTTAAACGTCTGTGTGTGTATAAACGACGATTTATACAACTATTTTTCAAAATTCCACACCAGACTTATTAATTCAATTTGATCACTTGGAGCAACTATGGTCGCAATTGATCGTTTCGTTCGGAAGTGTTAACGTTAATTACTTTGATTTATAAAACGTCCGGAAATGTATCAATATAGATGGTATTTATAATAGATGTTTTATACTGATGAAAGCAACAGTTATATTTGAATTAATTTTTTTTTATCTCGAACCTTTACTTATAAGTTGTAGATTTAAATGCATAAAAGTGTTCGAATTTTTAACAGCAGTTGTGTTGGCTTAAATTGAACTAAAAATTTAGATAAAGCATTTTGGTTTACACTGTTATTGTCATTGTCTATATCTGAAAATCGTGTTAATGTTTCGGTTGTATCGAAATGTAAAACTAACTAATGTAATCTAACTGCGTTAGATCTGCGTAATCCTAGTGTAACATTAGGAAAACGATAAGAAATGGCAAATAACAAATGAGAAATGCTTACAACTGAATTACAACGATTATGGCTGAGTTAATAAAACGTTATATTGTAATAGTTCTCTTCATACATTATAGGAGTTTGAATAAATGAACAGTTACAAATTTAACCATTGCATTCTGTTATATAAGAATATTTAATGGATGTTTTAAAATGCTCTCTTAAAGCAATATTGGTATTCATAAATTTCATTTTCTAAGCCACTGCAAAAGATATTAAATATTAAAGAACAAAAGAAAACTATAGTTACCGTTATTTTACCTGAGAAATGTTTTACTTACGTCAGCTTGTAGCATACTATAGTGTTCTTCTTTTGCGCACAATGACTCCTTGAGAACTGCTATGTGGCGCTGATAGTCCTGATGCTGCTCTTCCAGTGTTTTCATTTTGGCATTCATGGCGAGAATTTCTTGGTCCCTTTTATTTAACTCTATGCGAAGTTCATCCACCTAAAATAAAATGCCTGTTCAAAAGGTTCTGAAAATCATTATATTCTATGTTCTTCTGTATATTAGTTGAAAATTTTAAGGCTACAAAATATTCTGCTTCACTCGAATGTTTTTTGTTTCGTAACATATACTGCCTAGCATAGCTTTCAGCATATGATTTAAAACTTCAAATTAATAGTAACAATGTAAAATACATGCATAGGAAAGCACACTGTAGTAATTGTAGAAAATTACATGAAAAACCCTTAGCTGCTGATAAATTAAAATTTGTGGTAACACTCGATGAGTTAGGTAACTGTAATTAAAAAAAAATAAATCAGTTTTCAACTGACGAAAATAACGGTACGAAATGGCTCTGCCAATGTACAAAAGTGTTCCCAATCGCATTCACGATAGTTGCAGGATTTTGTAACAATGGCAAATTAAAACTCAGTATCAACGAAGACTAAAGTTAATTCACTGTATTATCAGCAAAACAATTTTTCAAACAATTTTTGATGAAGAAAGTTTAACCTTATATAGATAGTGCATCAGTAAAGTTTAGCTGCATATGGACAAAGCCTCCAGTCAAACGTTTAAGTAAACTGCCGCTTATTAGCAAAGAAAGAATCAGATACAGGAATAAAATGTATCAAATTTAACGAAATACTTTAACTAACTGCTTTCGAAGTACATCATACAGTAATAATAGTTTATCTATTTTTGTGTATTCCTTAATATGCCATTTTCCTCAGTTTAAGTACTACGCTATGAAATGGTATAGCTACGTGTAACCGCATTGCTAGGATGAGAGAATTAATAAGGTAAATTTATCTAATTAAACTTACTGTAAAACGCTTGTTTTATAAAAATTCCTCTTATTAAATAATAAAACATCTAACTGGAAAGTAAAATTATCCTGTTCTAGCCTATGAAGACGATCTGTTTGAAATTAGCTGTTGTTTGAATTCGAGTTTATTTGGATCTTTTGCGAGAGGACTCTCTAATGAGAATATAGTGAAGTATTGTAACTGTTTTGTGCTGAATTTGACAACAATATTCTGTTATTTAAATGCGAAATGCAATAGCAATATTTGGAGCTAATTTGTCTCTTTCTTTGTCTAATAAGATGCCTATCTTTCTAGCCCAATTAATTTATTTGAAGAGGCAAGTAATTTTTAAATTAAACAAATTAAAAAAGTTCTAAGCCTTAGCATATTCTTACATACAGTATCATACTACAGAGCAGTGGGTACAACACAGCAGCGCGTAATTAACGATTGAGTACAAGATTCATTGTTATTGTATGAACATTACATATGATTGTACAGGTTTAGTTGCGGTTGCAGGTTATTTGAAAAAAAAGTGTCGGCCAAACGATTTAGCTACAATACGTATTTTAAACTGCAAGTTATCCATTTCTCTAAGGGAAACAGAAACCAAACTGTAGCAGGTCATTTGAACGTGGATCAGTCCAACGTGCGACGCTTGAAAAAAGGATGCTGTTGGATACTGCTACCCAGTGATAGCAATACTGATAGTGCAGGCAACTACTCTTGTGACAGTGAATAAGGGGTGCTAAATACAGAAAGATTTCTTTTTGACCAATAATAAAAATTTTGTCACGATGTGTAATAAGTACTCTTTTTATTTTAGCTGCTTTCACACCTTCTGAACGAAAAAAACTATTGTGGATAGTAGACAGGCTATTCTATTCTCGGCTTTTGAGAATTAGGTTTTAAATTACAGGCAAAAATTAAGATTATGCACACGAGAATATGGTGGGTCAATAAGGCATAAAAATATCGTTAACTTGTATTAATTTTTATGTTGAAGATTTTCTTTTATTTACTAGCACAGTTATTTTGTTCTGTCACTAATTTCAGAGACAGAACCTATAATATATATAATTTTCAGAGTATGTTTCTATAAGGTAATAGTGTCTGATAATATATATGTATGTAAGATAAAAAATTTGCAAATCAGCTTTCTAATTTAATTTAATAATAGTCTCTTAATTCCTTACTTTTAATCTGGGTATTTCCTATTTATTCTAATAATAACAACATTTCTGGACTGCATGATTTCTAGATTAATCTATGTCAGAGCCTGCGTAATGCTGATGACGTAGTTATTTCGAAACCTAAACCCTGAAGAACTGAAAACTTTCTAACGTAAGCCAAAACCTTCTTTCTTTGGTGAGCTGCCATATCGGATAAAGGTACTTTGCTTGTATTTCTGTTGCTGCTTGGAAGTCATTTTGCTGGCCTCTGTTACTATCGCAATAGTATTAAAAATGCAAACGTTCTGAAAATAGGCGCGATTAGAGTGCCAAGTGAATTGCGGCCTCAAATGTGAATTTAAATGGAATTTAATCTGCGTTCACTGCCAAGCTTCCTATTCATTCAGGATTAGCATTATGGGTAATCAGAATTTTTCCTCTTCCGTATGGATTTACGTTCTACGCCAAACAACTTTGCTGCAATGTCTTTTTCTATTTTTAATCATACACACATGCAAACGCAATAAATACATATTGCACACATTCGGAATGTATATCGGATGATCTAAAAGTAGAAAAAAATGAAAAGTCAATAATTCTAAAAGTAATAGTCAGTAGCATGAGGCGCCCTTTACAGAAATGCACACAAAGACAGGTTTTTATTTTACATAACGGAAACTTTAATTTCCAAGATAATTACATTTTTCAACGACGGTGCGCTCTGTAGGCCGTCCGTAAATTTTGAGTTTCGTACGATGTAGTATGGCAGTCACTGGGGATCATTCCCAAGACTATGCATAGTAAACGAATACGAAATGGAACTGAAAACAACCAGATTCGACCGACCCCAGAAATTTGCAAACTGGGTTTTTCCCGGCTGTCAAATGTCCTGCTGATTGACGGGGCTCATGTTTATTTAAAGGAAGTGTTAATGCACACAACTGCCTCATTTGAGTGACAGTGAGCCCAGATTCGATTATAGAAACTTCTATGCAAAGCTGACATCATTTTGTGAGTTCACTGTGTCAATCAGTATAGGCCTCGTTTTTTTGAGGAAGTCCGTAACAGTACATTTTGAACTATTTCTATCACAACTGAGGCTTTGTAAGGTTTGTCCTAAGCTTTTAACAGTTAATTTTAATAACAGCTACTTTCCTGTCCTTCCTAATTTCAGCTTACAATTTCCTACCAGAATGTGTTTTTAGAATCGCGTTTAATGCAAATGAGTGGTATTTAAGTCGAAGTTCCACTGACTTAGAGAGACAGCCTCAGATTTTCTGGCTAGCGCGCGTTCGCCTTTTGGTACCTCTCTCTCTAAGCTGTTACTACACTCGGCCGTATTTTAGGCCCTTAATAGCCTCCCTAGCTTATTCGATATTTAGAGGGCCAACTGCTTAAAACTTTGATAGCTCCGGCTATATCTTTTTAGTTAAGCATTAGTTAAGTTTTATTCCTGAATACCTTGAGTTCAAGGCCCAAGTGGAAGTTTTGCTGTACGCTTTGAGAAAGGAGCCAACTGTTTTAATTCTTATTTTTTATGAGGAAAGAGTAATTAACTCTTTTTGAGGTTTCGTTTCTCAACTAAAGCTATTATTCGCTTAACTTTTAACGAGGTTCTTACACATTTAGTTGTTAGATAAAAGGGTGAAACCCCACATGTTAATAAGTGTATACCTCTCTTTCCCGCTAGAATGTCTTACTCGGGTCTCTAGACTTTGAGTTTTGGTTGTAAGTCTGCAGATACATTAGGTTATTTCGAAGCAGGTGACCTAAAAAAATTAGCAATGCCCTCGCCAGGGCTCGAACCACTGACGTCTCGAATACGCGCCGAATCTGCTGACCACTACACCACGAAGTCATGCTAAGAAGGCGGGAGAAATACCTTATATACTCCCCCTTTTAAAGGGCGACTGGGAATAAGCGGAGCCAGTCGCCAAATCCTGCTGGCAGAGAATCATCATCCACCTTTTTTGTAGCTCGGGCGCCACTGTAGAGACGTTGGATATTTTGTGAAAGCAGGAGAGATGAAAAATGAGCAATGCTCTCGCCGGAACTCAAACCTCGCACTACGCTGGCCGTATCGAGTGTCTCGATACGCGCCGAGCATGATGATCATTACACCACAAAGGCATGTTAAGAAGGCGAGAGAAATACCTTATAAGTCTATTTGTTGTCACAGATATAGCTGACGTTATTGGCCATACTGAAGGAAGTTTTTCGCTGTCATGTTACAGGAATTACAGTTGAATCCTCTTAGAAGCTGTGGAGAGCGTAGTGCCATGTCTTGACAACCATTCTGAAAAATACTTATAACCCTAACTACGTAATAAACTGTGCCGCGCAACTGTACGAACGTTTGACACAATTAAAGCATCACCTGTCGGTGGATAATGTAAATGATCTGGTAATAATATCTTTCATTATGAAAAAAAAATCACATATCTTTCGATGCATTTCTGTGATAGCTGTTCTGACGTGCCACTGAGCTTCTTCTATACTTTTCGAAGCATGGAATTTTTAATTTTTTGTTTCTTTTGGATCATCTGGTATAAATGCAGCGTGCATAGTGACTGATGGTCTATATAGTAATGAAATTGTTGCCATTAGCATCTTTTCTGGGAAGCTAGAATTTATTTTCATCTGCATGGACGTTCATATTCAGGTACCGCCCGGTTTTTAACGAAAAATTCAAATTATTTAATATTCGAAATAAATAACCTAATGTGAATCAAAATTATCTAAAATATATTTATTTATTTGAATTTTATTACATATAATATACATTCTATGTTAAATCTAGAATTATTATTTCGCAGCCTGGTAATTTAGACTAATAACAAAAAACGCATAAATCCATAAAAGGAAAATTTTATCTAACAAATGATAAATTAACCTATAAAGGGAGTTGCGCTTTAGCGAATAATTTAATCTAATCGTTTTGTTTCAGAATTTTATGAAATAATTAAAACTGCATCCGAACGTTTAGTTAGCTGATTATATATAGTTTAGCGTCAGTAGT